GCTCTTCCCGCTCACATCGCCTAGGGTTTCTTCTTCTCCTTCTTCGTAAGCAATTTTCTTTTTTTATTATTGTCATTTGTTGTTTTTGTAATTGTGAGTGCTTTAATTTTGAGAGGAAAGAGAGAGAGAGAAGGATTGGCTGGTTTATCAAAAACTACAGACAAACATGGTATATATATATATACATCTATATATATTATTGATAGATGAATCATAAATCTAATCTCTCTCTCCAATTTGTACAATTTCACCTCTCAATGATTAAGGAAAAATAATCGTCTTCTCTTTTTTCTCCCCTCTGTAGTAGTCTTTTTTTTTTTTTTTCCCCCTTTTCTTTAACAATGGTGTTCATTTAACCGGTAAATCGAGATGGGAAAGTTAACAACGTTGTTAATACTAAGGAAATTAATGTTCTGCTATGGAAGCTTGCCAACACAAATCTTGTTACTTTTTTAAGGTTTTAATAATCCTTTTTTTTTTTTTTCTCAAATCAAAATGTGCTGCCGGCCGAAGCTTGCCAACACAAATCTTGTTTACTTTTCTGGGTTTTATTTTGAACTGGTAAATTTAAAATCTGAAAGTTAATTGTTAATATCGAGAGAATTTAAATATAGCGGAAGTTTGTTAACAATCTTGTTTACTTTTATTTTGTTTAAGATTTAATTGGAGTATGCTTTATAATTAATTACAAATATTATTATCCTAAGTAGCAATCGTAGTCAATATAACACAGAAAAGGGGGAAAAGAAAAATTGAAATAATGTATGTGCTTCTTTTATTCCCATTGATTTATGGAGGATTTAATTTAGCCTTTTATTTTTGTTTTCCATGTTGTCTTTTGTTTTGTTTGATAAGATCACAATAGCAAAGTCATTTTGGCTTCTTTTACTCATACATGACCACCACTTTTACTTTTCTTTATACCCTCTTGATAATTAGAAAGAATCTGGTCTTTGGGGATTGGATATGACTTTCCATTTTCACACACAACTCAAAAATTGAAAATTTGATGCAAAATTTTTAATGAATTCAATTTTTACACACAACTAAACAATTGAAAAATAAATACAAAATTTACATGTGGTGAGTATTTAAAAGTGAAGAGAGAACTAAAAAGTATATTAAAGAGCGCAAAGGTAATCCGGTAAGAAATTGAAGTTTTTTTTTTTTTTTTTTTTTTTTATAACTATTATCATTTCTTTTATGTGTTTATTATAAGCATCAAATAAATCTCACCTATCAAACTTAGAAAAAAAAAATTACTTTAAGCACCATTAGTATTTAACATCAGTATTAATGTTATTAATAATAGAAAGTGTGTCCTATATGTGAGACCCATCTTTTATCGATGATGCCCTGTAACCATGGACAAAAATTTCGCCAGTGAAAATTTCAGATTTTTGAGGGTCCTGAAATGTTTTTTCACTATAATATCGATATCGATAAAATATCGGTAAGTATTGATCAAAATATCGATATCGGAAAAATATCAGTAAATATCAGTCGAAATATCGATATAGGTTTGCATATAGAGTAATTGGGGCAAAATATCAGAAATTTCAAAGAAATTTCGGTGATATTGGAAAAAAAAAATTTAAAAGTTTTTTTTTGTTTTTTTTTTTTTAAATTTGCTTTATAATATCTATTTTTTTGTCATTGACCAAGAAGAGTAAGGAATATCAAGAATGTAAACATCTGATGGAGATAATCTTTTCATGAGTTTATCAATGAATTTGGCTTCCAATTATTGCAACTCTTCCAAGAGACTCTTAATGTCATTATCCATACAATCATAATTTTGAAAACTATGATAGGTATGGAATTTTGAATTATCCTCATCTTAATATACCACCACCATCTCAGGCAAATAATTGAGAAAACTCACAATTTCTAATTCATAAAATTACAGTCGAAAGAGATCAACAAACCTTCATGTGGCACATTCACCTATATTATTTGAATTAAGATCTGATCCTGACCACGTTAGAGCTTCATAAAACTTTTTTTAGTATTAAGAAATGTAATATGTATGATTTTTTTTAATGTAAAACTTGTTTATTTATGTATCTTTTTAATGTTGATGCTATCAGAAAGTATTTAAAATATACTCTAATGTAAATTTCTGTCATTTTTGTAAATTTTTCTAATATTTCCACTAATATTGATATTTTTTTAATATTTTTATAAAATTAAAGTACTGATATTTCTACTGATACCACCGATATTTTCATCCTTACTTGTAACATTGTTCGAAAAGAAAATAATGCAAAATATAGAACAAATCCGCATGGACCTTGTAAAATTTTGCGGTTCAAAACAGTCTATCACAATAATTCTCTATTTGCTGACAGTTAAGACATACTTGTAAGAAATTGAAGTTGCTTCAAAGTTGATGCATATATATATCCAGAGATAGAAAGTCAACTTGTTTGAGTGGTTCTCAACTTGGTCCCTCCAAATGGGGGTATCAATTTACTCACAAAATTGAGAGTTGAAGAGAGAGAAAGAGGAGAGAGAGAGAGAGAGTCAGAGATGCTGAAGGAGTTTTTTGGTTGGTCCCCTTGAATGAGGACCACAGTATGAGCTATTCCCCCAAAGTACAAAAGTTGAAACTTCCACCTACTGACAAGAAAAATGTATAGTCATGTTGTCTGAGCTGTTCAACATCGTAGAATAAACCACATTGAAGATCAACAGTGGTGCAAATATCAACGTGGTTGAAACTGTTTGAATCACATCCCATTAATGCCATCGAGGATTGTTTGGTTGGAGGATTCGTACCCTGATTCGAATCATAATTTATAATTCGTTACAGTTTTTTTTTTAACAAAAAATACACGTAAATAAAAAATAATTCTAATTTTATGATTTTAATCTATGAACCAAACGTCTAGTAAGACGTTGAAAGACTTTTTTTTTTCCTTTTTATTCTTTGGGATTTTTTTCCTATAAGACTCTCAATCTTTAATGTATAGTTGTTAAATTTAAATTAAATTAAATTAAATTAAAAAATTATGTAAATCAGACAATTTTAGATATAGATTTGATTTAAAATTATTAGTAGTTTATTTTTTTTAGTTCTACCAGAAAAATAAAGGGTTAATAGCTTTTAATCCATATATTTTGGTCAATAAACTAATTTAAGCATATTTAATCTATAAATTTTCATTTTTTTGACAGTTTTAGTCTCTGACAATAAAATTAACAAATGCTTTCTGATATTTTAGTCTAGATAATCACATTATTACTGCATTATAACAGAGAATTTTATATAAATAGTTATAGCATGTGAAAAATATTATAGTTTTAATAGTAAGAAAGAGAAAATTTTATGTATACGTAATTTTTTTTGAAAATTTTAAATTGCCACTCAATGAACACAGTTATCTTTGTTAAATTTCAAAAAATGTTCGTCAATTTTACTATTAGAGACTAAAATTGTCAAAAAAACTAAAAATTAGAAATTAAATATGCATAAATTAAAAGTTTAAGGATCAAAATATCACTATACTTAAAATTTATAGACTAACAGAGCTATTAACCCTAAAATAGAAGGCATGCAAAACTGCTAAAAAGTATATATACAAAATCATAAATTTTTATCTAAGGTATCAGATGATATCCAATTTGTTTGGACCACCACTAACAACTCTAATAATGACCTTTAACTCACCTCTTTTTTTTTTGGGGCTAAAAAGAATCACCTCTTTACTTTGATATAATTGAATTCTATCCCTTTTTTGTTGTATTAAAAAGAAAAACTGCGGGGAAATATTTTATACTGTTTAAGAAATGGCATTTATTTATGCTTCTTTGTTAGCGGGGGCATTCCTCTAAATTTCCCAATCCAATATACGATTATACATCATACACAACTAACTCAACTGATCCGCCATCAAATTGGATTTATTTTGATCTATATGTCATCTAAAAGAACTAATTTCCTATAAAAGAGAACATGTTTTTTTAAAGAGTCCGACATCTATAAATCTAAACATCTTTGGACAATAACATGTAGAAAAATCCCTCTTGGACGTTTAGTTCGTGGATTCAGAATTATTCTCGATTTATGTGTGTTTTTTTGAGAGAAAATACTATAACGAACCACGAACTATGATTCGAATCAGTACACGAATCCACCAACTAAACAACCCAAATTGGTTGTCTAAAAGGAACAAAAAACACGCATTTATGGAAAAAAAATTTATTTAACATAATTATTGGTTTAAAAGTCGCTTAAAACTCAAATCCACCATTTAAATTTATCTCTTTCTCTCTATTCTTTATTAGGATTTCGCAAGGTTCTTTCTATGCCACATCCATTTGTCTTCCCTTTGATCCATTCTTTACTTAAAAGAATGGACCAAATCTCTGAAATTGACAGGCACCAAAACAATTCTTAAATCAAGTTAAAATAACATTTGTTTCGGTGATATCTCTGTTATATATATAATCTTAAGATATATATATATATATATATATTTAAACAGTTAACCGAAGTCTTTACTATGACGGGATTTGAAAGAAAATATAATCTAATAATTAATGATAATCATTAAATATAAGAAAAAATCTGTTAGAGTGCAATTTACTAAAATTGAAAGTATGAGCAGAACTATGTTAAAAGCTTAGGATGCACAATACAACTCTAAAATCAGGGTAGCGGTGGAGGAAGAAGGCCAATCTGTCGTTTGGTTCAAGAGACATAAGAGATGGAGGAAAGAGAGAGAGTTTGCCTTTAAACCCTACCAAAATTAGATCCTTTTATTAGCGAAAATATTCAACAAATACATCAAATTTAAGATTATATAACTCTTCAAAAGCAAGTAACAAAAAATAAGTAAATAAACAATCTAATAATTAAATAAATAACTATCATCAATTCTCTCAACTCTCCCTCTCTCGCAAAACAACAAAAAGAATTACTATAGGTGCGTTTGGAACTCGTTCTAAAATGATTTTATTTTTTGTATGAAAATGAAAATGAAAATGAAAACGTTTTCAATTTCAGACAGAAATCATTTTTAAAAATGTGTTTAATAGTTTTATCAAAAGATTATTTTCAATGTAAAAAAAACCTATTAATGTCGCTCTTTCTCTCTCTCTCTACTCGAGAGAGGAAAAAACGAAAATAAAAAATGAAAAATGACTAAAAGTCATTTTTCATTTCTCTCTTATTTTACACTAAACCAAAAAATCGTTTTCATTTTCGTTTTTTACCTTTATTGCGCCAAACGTCGTTTTGAAAACGTTTTCATTTTTTCTTTCTTGAAAAACATGAAAAACAAGAAAAACAAAAACGGGATCAATTCTAAACACGGCCTATAATCTCCCGTCACATTCAACTCTCCACCGGTCCAACCAAATGGAGCCTTAGGGATAGTAGCATATTTTTAGGATCAAGCTTCATGCAAGGTTTACTTACTTAAAAAACAAAAAATAATAAGAATCTCTTGAATATACAAGATCAAAACAAGCAATTTCGTCTATGCTTATGAACTAAAAGTTTAATAGACGTCATGTTAGCTCATTTGAAGCCAGAGTAAAATTACACGACAGTGGGACACGTTATATCACATGCATGTGAGCATTCTTTTTAAATTTTAACATACTTATCAATTTAAACGCATTATGCAACATTTTATTAAATTAGTTATCATATATTATTGATTCTATTTTCGTTTTTTCGTTTTTTGACTCAAAGGGACCCACATGCAATAATAACGTGGCCAATATATGCAGTATTAGAACATGAGGCAAACTGGCACCAAAACTAGGCCACAATGAACCATACTTTACTTTCCATCAGAACAAGAGAGTGGGACAAAGTCATTGAACACGAAAGTTTTTGTCACCCGGTTTATTTATTTATTTATTAACTCATAAATACATGTGGTTTATTTATCATGGGAAAAGGACATATTTGCTCTCAAATTTCCAAGAAGGAACTGATCGTCTTGAAGCCATGATTCTCTGGAAGAGGTCCATTTCCTGGTCGGACAGATACAATGACTTCCAATCCTGAAAAAAGAAAAAGAAAAAAAAAAGGTGGGTATTTCTAACAAATTATGAATGTGGCGACATTTCTTTTTCGGATGCACAGAACATTAAAAATGTGTTCTCAGGGATGAATGTCTTTGTGAACTTGGAGATATCATTGCTAAAAATTTTGGGAGGTAGTTAATATGAGCGTATTTGCAAGGATATTCCAATTCCTAACTCGAAACTAACAGGTTTTTCAATGAAAATAGTACTGGAAACAGAAACCAAGGGCGTATTCGAACAAAAGCGAGAGGCGGAGAAGTTTCAGGTAAGCTGGTTAGCTGGGGAAGGGCTACATCCACGGTTCTCTAGCCGGTTAGGTGTTGGAAAGACGAGAAAACCACTGAGAAAGGAGATGCTTGATTCCCTTTCTAGTTTTTATTAAGTCGGTTTACTAACGAGTACTTAAATGTCATGGCTTATCAACGCATGTAAACAACAGAAATTTTGTTACCTGCAGCCTTTGCCGCCACTGCTTCTTGAAAGACATCCGTCACGAATAAAATTTCTGATGGCTTATCAACCCCAAGAGATTGTGCAATTTCAACGTAACTACGGGTTTCTCTTTTGTTCCTGAGAGAGAGAAGCAAGGGATGCGGCTTTAGCTCAAAACAATTAGGAAGAAGGCAGAAAATAAAAAGAAAAACTATCTAAAGAAGGAAAGGCGTGGCCAGATATTAAATATATTTACCCCACTGCAGTGTCGAAAAATCCAGACAAAAATTCCCTAAGATCCCCGTATTTTGTGTTGCCAAAAATAAGCCTTTGAGCCAATCTGCTACCACTTGAGTAAATGTATACCTGCAGCATGGGGAACCGCTAAAAGCGAACATACCAATTCCAAAGATGAATCATGAACTACATTCACTCTATATCTCATTTGTGGCTATAGTGTTACAGACCGATTTCCACATATAGGTTTTATTGAAAAACGTTTTTTCTACGGTATTTTCACATATTTAACACAGACTAATAAGAAAAAAAAAAAAGAAAAAAGCATTAGTTGGATTGATTTGCACGAGCACATGAGCATGAGTATGTATGGAGCTTGTATGGAGCTTCAAGTCAGACCTATCATTCCTTTTGCTACTGCTAAAGAAGGTAGGCCTATAAAGAGCAAACGGCTCTCCAATGTTTGCGTGGTCATATATAGAATCCAATTAAATATAATTTGACAATCAAACAATATATATATGAAAAGAAAGGAGGAAATCACCTTTATGCCTGAACCATGCCATCTGGCAAGAGCTTCTGGTACATCCTCAAAAACTACGCCCTCCAATTCATTATTTTCAAATCCGGTTCGCCATATATGACCCTGAACATAACAAAGACGTCAATTGTATCCTCAAAAGAGATGCTAAGTAGGTAACAAGATGCTTCTGATTTCTGAATTATATTTTTCGTACTTGCAATTGTTTTAGGGCCGTGATCTTCCGATCAGCTTTTATCATGGCTTCCACATTAGCAACCAAAGCTGCAATAACTGCCTCTTTACCTGCATCATCAGAGGGGACAGGAACAGCACCACTAACACCGTTTTTTAAGTCATCTTGAACCTGCAACAGGGATGCACTAGTCAGAATATTGAGCATCCAAAAGGTAAAGTTTCCGACGTAAAATAAATCCAACTCAGAAACTCCTGAATGATACTAAAAAGCCGTAGTTAGCACTACTGGTCCAAGCAGTCTGGCTTTATAGGTTTCGAGTTTTTGTTTCTAGAATAGGATCAGGTCTGTCTTTCTTCTTCTTTTTTTTTATTTTTTATTTTTATTTTTTTAATTTTAATTTGGGGTTAGTGGCAAGCAGCAAGCGACATATGCATTTGCACTTTCAGAAGAAAAATGTGCAGTCTTCAACAATGAATTGAAGTGAAATAGAGAATTTTGTTCTTGTATAATAATGGTGAAATTGGTATAACTGGTTTATCCATGTGGAAAGCCCAAAGTTTGTGTTAAAATAGCTATAATATTCCACAAAATAGCCATGAAGTCAATGCCCCTGGCCTGACAAAAATCTTACTTGAGAACGCAGCAATTCTATGTCATCTTTGGTTTCTGCAGTGTCGTATGTCGCAGACAAGTGCCTTGCAACATTATCACGGGCATACGGAAAGAGAACATCAGTAACAAACGATATCGGAGTTGTAGTTCCCTCAATGTCAAGAACAACAAAACGCTGCATTGGAAAAAAAGACCAAAAGGAAAAAGCGAAAGAAATCAAGCGAAAAAAAAAAAAAAAATCTATGCAAACTAAATTGATAGTAACTGATTATCAGAGAACGTAAACTAAAACTTCCTAACATGTTAAGCTAGAAAGAAAACAATTAGTGATAAGATGAAACTACAAGTAAAAGTAGAGATTGTCCAAGAACACTGATCATAAAGAATGTAAACTCACTCGCTCAAATTCAGTATTTGAACCTTCAGTCCCTGCCTTGACAGATATGTTTCTGTTCACGCAACTTCTGAAATCTCCTTTAAGATTTTGAATTGGACCATGGTTTGGAGTGGACCAATCCAGACCCAGCTGATTGAGTTTGATTGCAGCATCAAAGAGATAGTGATAACATTCGGCCTGGAAGCATAAGAAACAGGTGGAACAGGTCAGCATGTGTGATCTTCAGAAGTAAAATAAAAACGAAGAGCCGTTTTTTTCTAGAGAAGTGCACCTATACTTCAGAGAAGCATATGTGACAACCATGTACAAACATTCCTAACTTAATCACACAAAAGCAGAGCATGAGTATGCAAGCATATCAACTGCTGAATAGTATACTAAAACACTCATATTTGAAAGTATCAATTACACCCCCGGGTGCTAAGAAATTAATCCGCAAAGTTTCTTTAACTAATTTTTTCAGAAAACTCGGGAAAATCATTGAAAGTGAAACATAGTTTTCTGGAAAGCGAAAAAAAAAAAATCACAATTCAACCTTTTTCCCCCCTAGAAACTCAAAACTTTTAGGATAAAAACTTCGACAAATTACAATCCTGGAACTTTTTCCAAGCATTGCAAATGCTCTTCTCAATAACACGCACCTGAGTTTTCGCACTGATCCATGAGTCTCCCCATACATAGATGCCATGGTTGCGAACAAGTACAGCTGTTGTTTTTGGGTAGGCTTCAATCTACGGATAGAACAAACAAAAAGAAATGATTACTAGGAAATATAAGAACTACAACAAAGTCGAAAGTAAGAAATGACACTCCACAATAACAAGCTCCCAAATTATATTCATCTAGTTCAGAAGAGCCATCTCATATTATCAACGGGTGGAAGCATGTTATACTGGAAAGTGAACGTGCATGTTAAAGATACTGCAAAATTAATGTATTTGTTAATATATGCATATCAGCAAGGCTAATCAAACATAATGACATGCATATAAGTAGATATCTATGCATATATGGACGTATGTGATCATGTGGTTTCATTGCTGGCATGTAACATAAGAATTGATATTTTTCCCTTTTGCAAATGCTTCATGAACATTCCTAGATAAGAATTAAAAGTCAACTAAAAACTCACGCAAAGTAAATTTCATAAGGTGCACATACAGCTTTGGCAAGAGATTCTGTAAGCTCGTATTCATAGGCAGTGTTCTCTATTATAGGGACCACAAGTTCATCATAATAACCATGCCCTTGTATTCCTTTGATCATCTCCATATGAGTAATCTGCAAATTTGCCCAACAAGAAGAAAAAATATAAAGCAAAAATTAAAGCAAAAATGGAGGAAGATTGGAAGGCAAGTAATAACAAGTAATGGTATGCATGATCATTAAATAAGATGAAAAGAGGAAGTCTATGGACCCGTTTGGCAGAACTTTTGCTTTTGCTTTTAGCCAGTAGAAGAAGAGAAGTAAAAGCTATAGCTTTTCAATAAGTATTTGGAACCAAGAGCTTAATGGGTCAAAATGATTTTTAAATTTTCTAATAAGCAATAAAAATGTTGGAATTAAGATTATAATGCCTTAATTAAACTCTGGTACAAGTTTCAAAGTCTATTTAGAAGTGCCTTTTTTAGAAACCATAATTTCTGACTTTGGAAGCTCTTCTAAAAAGCCAAAGCACTTCTGGCATATTATCCAAACACTTCTAGAAGCAGCTTTTGGACTTGGGAAGCCAAAAGCAACTTTTAAGAAGCTCTCCCAAACAAGCCCTATGTATTGGCTTCGCACTTCTGAAAGCATGTGAGCAACAAATTACATCATAGCAAACTTCTTTCAATACGAGAATGAAGGCCTTTTTTTAAGAAGAAAATGAATAATATATTGGAAAAAGAGACTTAAAAGGGTGTGGAGGGGGACCCTTTTTGCTTTAAGATCATATGCCCTGCAAGAAAATCTACAACTTAAATGCCATGTCAAAGATCTAATTATATCGTCACTTTTTTTTTTATCCTCGGTAATAAGAAAACTTTCACTAAAATTTTTTTATAGTTTGTAACAAACCTTTTTTTTTTTTCCTTTCGCTGTTAATTTGACTGCTGTCCACTTCTCATACTAATTAGAAATGTCATCGTAATGTTCTAATCTATTTGGTCTCTTTGGTAGAGAGTGGATTTTCTTACATTTCCCAACTTTGTTGTTGACAAATGATTAAATTAAGGCCTTTCCGAACAGATTTTCAGTTTCACTTCATGAGGTTAGATGGGTAAAAGTTTGCACTTTTAGCATCCAATCCTAGCCCCAACCAGTAAAATGATTTTTCATCATTGCTTGATCTTACCCAAAAGAAGGGTATTTGAAATATGTTGTCCTTTCCTAGCAGGGTAAGACACGTAAGAGGGAACATAGAAAGAAAACTACAGTGGAGAAATCAAACATTTACAGGTATGTTTCACAAATCAAGTTAAGAACCTGAGTTGTGTAGGTGAGAGAAAAATACTGTATCAAAAAAATTGAATTTGAATTTTTGTTAGAGAAAACACTGGGTGCGTTTGGAATTGGTTTCAAAATGATTTTGTTTTAAAAAAAAAGTAAAAATGAGATTATTTTTAGAATCATTCTGAGACCAACTCTAAAATTGCGTTTGGTTGATTTTTTAAGAGATTGTTTTGAGTATAATAAAAAAGTAAAATCGTATTTATTAATTAATATATTATATTATTGTTGATAAGTACTAAAAAACGAAAACAAAAAAGTGAAAACAACTTTCTAACTATTTTTTAATTACTTCACAAAAACCATTCTCATTGTTTTAGTTTTCATTTTTGTTTTCAAAATATTTGCTAAACAAACGTCGTTTCGTTTTCATTTTCATTTTTTGCTTCTCGAAATACGTGAAAACCGTTTTAAAAAACGGTTCCAAACATGCACACTGTAACAATATAACTTGAGTTGTGAAAAGAACAAGGCCTACATATGTCTGCAATAAATATTAGCATTTTTTATCCTCGATAAGAGTAACCCAAAAAACACTTACCCTAAATTCCTTTGCTTGTGGATTGATCATTGTGACAAGACAAGATTCGATACCATGGCTATGAATAACGGCTCCAGCATTACGCATTTCATATGCCTGGAAGTTGAAACATAAGCGTCAGAAGAGACACAAAGCCAAGACACTGGAGAATGGAGAGAAGTCAGCCTCAGCCTGTCTTCAAAAGTGAACTAAACCAACTATGATCACCGCCAATGAAAATTCAGAACAAACGTACACAAATAAGACAGGATGCAACATAGAAAAAGAAAGCAAATATGAAACTGCAAAATTATTTACGATATCAAGGTTTACTGAAATGTGAACCCATTACCTATAGAAATTTGAAAATTATGGTATAGTAGTAAAGAAAAAAGGCATGATATAGAACTAAAAAATTATTAGGCTTTGAAGATCAAAATCAGAGGGGAAAAACGTAAGTTTATTAGAAAGAAAGTTGCAACTAGATTTGTTAATGGACATCAGATTTCCAAACAATGTCGTTCAGCATGAAACCTTTAAACTACAAAATTTAGCCCACCTTGGTTGTACTTTTGAATATACATACATGGGGTGGAAGCCAAAACTTACTCAAACAAAAATAGCATACATAAATTCTTCGTGAAAATGGAATTCTGTGAGTAGTGAAAAGTTGCATAGCTATGATCTACAAGATGAGGAACTATTATACAGACTTATATATTTCTCTCTTTGACCAAATTAGAAACTTTCACATTTGTTACTAGTAACTTGGATTCACATTTCTACTAGAATCCTTGTATCAATAAGATGGGGAACATAGGAATCTTGATAAACCTTATCAAGACATCCAAACCAGAAAGCTTCAAATTAGGCTGCATTGTACCTTGCCTTTTAGATTCCTTGATCTCTTTTCCCACGATACCAATCGGCTCTTGGCTTTCTGGTAGTGATCCAATAGTCATTAGCAATCAAACTTTTAGGAGTCTTTGTTTTGGTCACTGACCAAAAATAGGGAAAGAAAATTTCTGATATCTTTAACTGTACTTTTAGTATTGCAAGCAGAAAGGAAGTGCCACTTTTAATCTAGTTCTGGCTGTGACAGTAATTTTCCTTGGTTTAGCTAGTTCGATCCTTTAAAACTAGACTAGATAAGAAATTATTCTCAAAACAATGGAGATGGTAGGGCACCATTCCAGTTGAGCAGAAGACATAATTACACATACATATGACTAAACTTAAAACTCAAAATGACCCCAATAGCTTCATTATACAGCAAATACATAAATTAATGATGAGATCATTACTCAAATTACATTGTGGGCTATCATTCTTAAGATTAAGCTAACAGAATAAAGTAACACTCAAAGTAAAGTATTAGTTACTGCACACATTACATTTTAACAAAATCAAATAACTAAAGTTACTATTAGTTATTTACACAAGATGCAAACAGAGCTGATACCTTCATAAAAAGTGGACCACAATCGGAACATTTCGGAGGCTTATGTGGGTACGGCTTTGGAGATGGAGCAGACAAGATAGCCCCATTTGGAGACAATACATACATATCCTCGGGGACCATTCTTTCCTTCTGAACACCTACACGCATTAGAAAAGCACACACAAAATTGAGGCTTCGAATGATCAATAAGTATTCATCATATTCAGGCGTGGCCCAAAATAATGTTTGCTTAAAATGTAAAAAATGCTAATTTGGTGTGGCCCACATAACATGAGGAATCGGAAGAAACACCATTCTTAATTTTTTTTTTCTTTTTGAAAAAAGAGAAAACATTCAATTAATAGGAAAAATATGTACAACCAAAAGGTGGAAGAGTTATCCTCCAAAGAAACAAAGCTAAGCTATAAAAAAGTCACCAAAAACCAATTTTAATTTTCCCCGGTCTTATTTCCCTTTGAACTAGAATAAACCAATCTTAAATTTTAACCAATAAACTGCACAAGGATCCATATAGGTTTCCCATTCCTAAAATTAGTGAACGCCAGAAAGAGAACTGGATAATAAACACTAGAAAAGGGATCATTGATGCCCTTTCTTTCTTTCTTATTTTTCCTCTTTTCCAAAACCTTTCGCTTTCCCATTACAATTTCGAAAAAGCGCCTTCACACTAAAGTATTTTACGCTGCAGTTTCAGAAATGAATTGGTGAAAAGAGACAAGCAAAGCTAAGAACACATGACAATTTTCCATAATCAAATTCCCCAGTAAAGCACTATATATATATATATATATAAACAAAACACAAAACTCACGGACAATTCGACCACAAAAGCCTGGAGGAGGTAACCCATAGTCAATAAACCCAGTAAAGCTTTGACATACCAGAAAACTGAGGTCAGAATGATAAACCCACAATTAAAAAAGTAATAATAATTCACAATAGGCCGTAGTTTAAGCATAAATGGAGCAAATTCAGATATTAAAAATCAGAGTGAAGCATACAAAACAAACTGAAAAAAAAAAAAGACAAATACCCAGAAACAAAAAAAAAAACCAAAAGGAATACAAACACACAATTACACTTACTACAACACAACAAACCCAGAAATTAAAAAAAAAAAAAAAAAAAAAAAAAAAAAAAAAGAAACAAAGATTGAGTGCAGTGAAGTATACCAGAGGGAGACATGAGGATGAGCTGTTGGGGCTTGGGAATAGTGTCATCGGTGACCTTGATTGTGATGCTGCCACCTGTCCCCGACACCCATCCGAGGGTGTAGAATTGCCGGCAGAGCTCCGCTATCAGAACCCTCGTCTCCTTCACCGCCTTGCCCTCCAGGTACGCCTGCGACGTCGACCCCAACTTCACTCCATTCACAGCCGCCGCCGCCGCCGCCGCCATTTCTTTCTAGAGAGAGAAACTCTGGTTTAGAGAGAGAATGTAGTGAGCTTAAAAACTAGGCTAGTTTCAGAAGGGAAGTTTTTGTTTTGGATTTGGTTTAGTTATATCTACGAAAAGCAGAGTGGGCGACTTTTGTCTTCCTTGCTTTGAATTTTATTGGTTTAAATTTTTTTAAACATAAAAATTTAAATTATATTTTAAATTGACATTTAGATGATAATTAAAATTTTAATTTAAACATAGAATAAAATTTAAATTTGTGTTTAGTAGGTATAAAATGCAGAGAGTGGACATTTTTTACTGTTAAAAAATCGTTTGAACGGTTGAATTTGAGGGAGATATTAACTCTAAGTTAGGTCTTTTAACTTAGTTCAAACGGAAAATATAATCCAAACTGCATATTTATCAAACGTCAATTCAAACTGTACTTACTGTTCAAACTAAATTAAACTGAACTAAACTAATAAAACAAACATGAGCTTTGTTACTTACCGATTGGTTGACCAAAGATTGATTACTTGTCACGCCTCCCAAACGGGGTGGGTGACGTGGAGTTCAATTAGGGATTAATAAAGCAGATTTCCAGACCGAGCCCCACACTTAACTGCATTAAAATATAAATGAATTACATAATCCAGGAGCCTCTGGCACACAGGGCTCCACCCCACAGGACATACAGTATCGTACATACATGCTCATGTAATTAATCATTACAACAGACATCAACCACAGTCTAGTAAATCCAATATTAAATAGGTTTACATAATTTCTCAAATTCCTTACATTTGTTCAAGAGGATAAACTCAATCATCACTTGATCCAACAGTAGCAACTCCAGCTACCCTGCACCGCTCCTTGAGTCTCCTGAGAGGGGTTTAACATTTAAAACATAAAACGTGAGCGAAAGGCCCAGCAGGATATAATTTGAAATATTTAGAATAAATGAGCGCATGAATAAATAATTGAATACATAAATAAAATAAGACATTCAGTCCCGACAGAACAGCCGGAACCTCACATCATTTTTCTCAAAGGAAATATAACTGAAAATAACCATGTTACAGGCTTCAGCAAGTAATTAGTACAAATTACTTACCTAACCAAGTGCCTCGCCTACCCGGACCGAGTTTCGGGTTCTGCCCCCGAGGATGCACTATCCGCATCCTATCTAGGCTTACAGCAATAGACTCTATTACCAGTTCACAAGATCTCTTTGCTTAAGAAATCATTCATTAACATCTTGAAATCGTTAATACGACCCCACGAACTACTCAAG